AGAGAAAACATGGCACATAGAAGGCAACAATAAACAGTAACTATTATTATAAATCCACAGTCCATATATACATGCATACAAAATATCCTAATAGGTTTTTCCACTACCCACAATATTTGATGCAGTGGATAGATAGCTTAATGGAAATATAGCAAAGCTGTCAAACTCAGTGTAGTCAGCTTTGCTTCATGCTTCAAGCACTAAATTATATTTGACATTTCATTTAAAAATATCAGAGTAACATAATGTAAGCCAAACCCCCACAACTACTTTAGAGAGATGTGGTTTTTAAAGGAGATAAGATCTTCCTCATTATTATTTGGAAAATGGTAAATTTAAAATAGCTTTTTGGCTAATTTGCCTTGTTTAATCCAACAGTTTTGCATATCACTTTCTGTGTCATTTTGGATCATTTGCTTATATCTGAAATGCAATGAACATGAACACAGTTCTACATTGTAAATTTGTACATTTTTACCAACACTAGAGAATGTATTTTAGACTATTGATTAGAAGTGCCAGGAAAATAGTTTCTGCCTGGTAGTGAGGGGGTGGGGGGAGAGGGATAGGGTGGGGGGAAAGGGAGGGGTGGGGGGAAGGGGGGAGAAATGAACCAAAGATTGTATGCACATATGAATAAAAGAAATTTTTTAAAAAGTGCCAGGAATCGGAGTTCAAAAAGGTTTGATTCAAATCCCTACTTGAGGAAGTAATGAAGAAACATCTGACAAAGGGACAAAGCTCCAGTCACATTAGGTAGCCAAGTCCTTGGGATGTAATACACAGCACAGTGCCTGTAATTACCAATACTATATTGAATACATAAAATTTTGCTAAGAGGGTAAGGTAAGTATTCTTTTCACGAAATAACAATAATGAGGCAAGACGAAGCTATTGACTATGCTGGGCATGTTTCTGGGATATGTGATGATGGTTTCACAAATAAGCGTTTACTTATCTCCAAACGCATAAAGGTGTTCCCAGTAATTACAGCTTTTCACCTGCCAATCATGCCTTTTAGAGTGGTCTTTAAAAGTCCCTCTTTGTTTTACTACTCACCACCTGTGATTACATACAACTGAATTTTCCAAAGATGCTACAATAATCTCTCTTACTTCCCGCACTCTTCAAACAGGGTACTTGCCCTTTGATCCTGAGCAGACCTTTATGACTGCCCAAGAGAGTGTAGTAAAAGTGACAGTTGATCTTAAAAAATGAGCCACACTTTTTCTTGCTTTCTTGGAATGTTTACTTTTGGAACCCAGCCACCATGCTGTGAGGAAGCCCAAGCTGGTGTGCATAAAACAACACACAGAAAAGTCAAGCTGGGAGGTCAGTCACAGCATCAGTTGTAGACATGTGAGTGAAGATGTCTCAGAAAGGTTTCAGCCCAGACATCCAGCCGTACCTGGTCCCAGATATCATTTCCCTGCTGCACCCAGTCCAAATTCCTGACCTAGCCAGCCCATGAGATTAATAATAAGGCTGTCATGCAGCACTGAGCTGCAGGGTGACTTGTTATGCAGCAGTATTAACTGGAGCGGGAACCCGGGGACAGATGTCTATCCTCTGACCTCCACTCTTCTCGGTGTCTCACGTGGGAGAAGAGCTCTTATTGCCCAGGGTTGAGGGGGAATCTACCAATGAAAACACTGAAGCGTAAATATTCACAGCCTTCTCCCTCCTAGACTGCTCAGATGGCCTTTACTTCAAAATACTCAGATCTGCTCTGAGTATTTTGTGGTATTGATCAAAATGATGCACAAAAATGAAGTATAGGGAAAAGACGAAAAGTGGAAAATAAAAATGCCAAAAGACTCTGCTATAGCGTGGATCTCTTGTGTTCCCCAAAGGTCCATGTGATGAAGGCTTCCTCCTCGATCTGGTGCTATTGGGAGGTGATGAGCCTGTAGGACGTAGGACCTAGTGCGACCTCAAGGAAATCTGGGGACCCTTGTCTCTTCCCCTTTCTCTTTTTCACTTCCTGGCCATCAGGTGAGAAATTTTACTCTACCATAGGTTCAATCTTGAACCAAAATTTTGAGCCAAGATAACCCTTTTCTTTTTGTAAGTAGATGATCTTGGGTACTTCTAACAGTGACAGAAAACTAATTAACTGAGACTCTTAGAGAATGAAAACATGCAGTAACTAAAGAATTTTAGAAAGGTTTGTTAAGAAACCATTTTATGATACAATGTATTACATTGCCATGTAATTTTTAAACACTTTTCATATCCTGAAGATCACTTTGGGAAACTTAGTCATTAATTTTCCAAGCCCTATATAAATATTTGTGCTTATTTTTGGTATGACACCATGCTGAAGGTGCCTAAAGGCAGAGCCAGACGACCTGGGATTGCCTGGTTTACACCAAGCTAAACTCAGTAATTATTATATATTAATAGATTTATCTAGCAGACAACAGTCTATGAACAGGATCTCAAATAATAAGGTCATGATAAAATAATATTTAATTTCTAACCATAGGGTTGGACATATAAATCAATATCAGCATTTTAGCCACATAATATATTTAAAATTTGCTCAGCTTTAGTCTTCATGTCAGAAAAAAAATGGCTTATTTCTATCAAAACATTAGTTTTTCAAAACAGAGGTTATTTCAACTAATTTTTGCTGAATGTCTTTTTTTTTTTGTAAATACCATCATGCACATGCCAAAAATAATATAAAGAAGCATATACATTGCTTCTTTTCTCAAAAAGCCTGTATTCTAGTTAAGAGACAAGGAAAAAAAAAACAGGAAGCATTTTGAACAAGTAAGTGATACATATAAAAGGGTCAGATTACAATTTAAGGTAAGAATACAAGACTGTTCCAAAACACAGCAAGAGTAACATACAGATCACAACTGTTATTCACTCAAGGAAGTACCAGATTCTGGAAAGGTTTAGAAATTTTTCCTATAGATCAAAATGCTAAACAAGGCCTTGAAAGAGAAATAAGATTGGATGTGCAGCAAGAAAGGGAAAAGGCATTCTGATCTAGGGACAAATCTGAAGATCTGTTTTTTTATGTTGTTTAGTTAGTTTGCTTTGTTGGGTTTCTTTTTAGTGAACGGTCTGCAACAGAGGGGATGCATCCACAAGAGCTCAGCAATGAAAGTGCAAATGGCAGTGAGTTTAAACTTTCCCCTATTGCCACCTAGGCATTGATAACAGAGCTAGAAGGAAATAAGATAAAATATTTTGCAATGCCCATTCTAAAGGTGCTGTGAAGGACAGAGTGTGGGGAACTGGAAACAGGGTGACTTGTTAGTTACTGTCAACGGGACAGTAAGGTCCTGAAACATCCAAAAATTATAAAAATATAAAGGTTGAGAAAACATTTTTCATTACAGAATATAACCCTTTGACTTAGAAAACATGCAACTTTAGAAAAACCTACAAGTACATGAACCGGTAAGTGGCAAAGCTGGACTAGAAATGACATCTTCAGGTTTTACCTCCACTCCTTCTTTCATATATGAAATACTCCTAAGTATACATTATTAGTGAAATATCCTAGCAGTGGATTGCAAAACCCCAGGTTTCCTCTGAATTAACCGTGTCTCCTTGGAAACCAGGTCTCTGACACTTCAGGAGAACACACTTTATCACATCTTTGAGTGCTAGAGTTCTGGACTTTCTCAGTAAGGTAACATCTCAGTCATGATATCACACTGGAATAAAAGTAATGTATGTATTCATATGGACCTTGTTACAGTGCAGCTTATATAAATCATTAGTAGATGTTTCATCACAGGAAATTAATTATTGAGATGATGAGTAAAACTACTGGTTTACCATGCTTGATGGCTAAGAATGGATCTCAGGTATTCAACATACACAAGGCCACTTGACATTTTTACATGTCTCAGTTACCTGCATATATGCATTTCTGCTGTTTGTGCAATGTGTTCAGAAGTCAGGAAGCACAGGAAGATGACAGAATAGAAAGCTTATCCTGATGAAGACTGGGAGCTGTACTCCAGGTGACACTACAGAACCAGGAGTCAGTCCCCTGTCTCAGAAGAGCCACCATCCATAACCAGCACCTGAAGTGCATCACAGAAAGAGGTTTCTCATAAAGTCTGGAGAAATGGATGGGTTTATATTAACAATGGTTCTATAATTTTAGGGCTCAATGTAGCTGAGTGCTGTTGCTTTAAACCTTGCTCCAAACACACCATTTGTTAAATACTGAACTGTTTTTTTGCTGAATATGATTGTCTTCCAACAGCAAACACAAGGGTGTTTAAGGATCATGTCCAAAGCTTTAAAGCATTACTACCAAACAACTGCAGTGTATTATATGCCAATTACTTTAAATAGCAAGGACTTCTTGGAAACAAAATTATACTAAAGTTAATCTCATAATTGACATCACCAGTGTCACAATTGTCTATGTTATAAGAAAATAACTTTGCTTAATCAAAATGTTCAAACATAAATACCATCTCATTCAACAACCTGTTACTCTTGGTCTACCACCCAAATAAAGCTATTCTGAAAATGAAACAATTTACAGTAATTGCATTTTTACACACACACAAATATACATACACACTATATATTTACTTTCCTTGCAACTGTAAGGAAACATAATTTAAAAATATTAAGAAAATTACTTTTTCTGTAAGTCAACTAGGTGCAAGGGTATCTTTGACCACACTGTCTCACTGTTTCTATTTTATAGTAATCTATTCCACATATCCACCATTTCATCAAATAGTGACAATTGTCAAATCAGTCCATTGGAAGTTAATTTAGACAGTAGCATGTAAACCTGCATGAAGGTTCTGAGGGAAGGCCTTTCTGAGGCTGCTTTAAACCCAGAGAATAAAGGAGAAATGCTTTCAGCAGTAAAATAGTCAGCAGGGACAGACAGGAAAGTGCCAACTCTGTTTAGAAGCCTTGAAAGCATAACTTCAGCATCTCAAGGTAAAATGGGGTTTTCAATAACTCACCAGAGCTGCATCCCAACACTTATAAGTGCTGAGAGGCGATTGGAGGGCGAACCAGAGTTTGACCTTTTCTCAGTGAAGTAAAAGAAGACGTTCATCCATTGAACTGGAAGCTTTTAGTGGAGTTACTGGAAGACAAAGCTACCTGCTTGAAAGGAGCAGGAAGCAGAGGACTTCACTCTTTTATCAGAGAAGGGGCTTCAATCAGTTCTCACTGGATTGAAACTCAAAAGAATTCCTGCAGAACCACTGAACGGTCACCTTTAAGATTCAAAGTTTCTCGCAAATTCCTCTTTATTAAATTCAACACACACAGAACATTGCACAATGCATTAAGTCCTTTAGAAAAATGTTATTGCACTGTACAGCATATCAAAGCATATTAAAAGTACCTCTATGAAAGGAAACAGAGAAATGGAGTTTGTGGAATGTTAGAATAAATAACTGCCTGTGTTGAGATAAAAAATACAGCCTCTCTTCTCCACACAGCATTGCCTTTTTATCTTTGTTGTTGTTCATTTCATTGAAGGCTAGTGTTGGAAAGTCTCAGGTTTACCTCAAATTGGATTGTCTTATTTGATTTACCTATAAAAGGCCCAGCTTCTTAATGAATTTTAAATAAATTATGGTGCTGAAAAGGTAACATATTGCAGATGTCAAGTGAGGTGGGGTTTTTTATGTCTATGGTAAATTATTTTCTTAAAATATTTGAACATCTACTTAGGTTTTCTTCCCTTCATCATTTAACCAGGGTAACTTCACAAATCAATGTAACTGGAGCATGGTTAAGGGTTCACCGGCCTATTTTGTTTTGTATACTGGAACTAAGTTTCAATCATTTAAACAAAAGAAAGTAGGACCAGCCTGCCTCTAAAATATGAGATGAGTCATCACTTACTCATCGCATCAAACAGGCAGTAAATAAATATTTCATAAATAAATAATAAAAGTAGAATGTAAACCAGGTTTGGGGGACCACACCTGTAATCTCAGCATTGGGGGAGGCTGAGGCAAGATGATCATAACATGGAGGCCAGCCTGAGTGACATAGCAAGATCCTGTCTTAAAAACAAAGAACAACAAAACAAAAGCAACCAAACAAACAAAACCAAAGGAGGGCAGATTCATGAATGAATCACAATACCACAAATATTTAAAGCAGAAATATTCCACTAGAAATAGGAACCACATGAGATAAATGTCATATTCTTCAAGATGGCTAAGTAGAAATGTCCTGTGTGTGTCTCTGCCAGGCAACTAAGGAAAAACTTTATTTCAAGGAGAGTAATTGAGAGAGAATTTGTGTGTCAGCAGGGAAGTAAAGGGAGCCCTAACCAGCATGAGAATTGGACAGATAACTTAGAAAGAACAGCAGCACAATTTTCAAGTGCAGCCCTGGCTCCCTGGCCAGGGAGACCCCAACATTGGCAGTGACTCAAGTCCTTGCAAGCTTTAAATCCATCTTGAATAGCTGGCTGGTCTAAGAGTGACTGCTTTGCTCCAAAGAAGGAACCCACTTTGGGTATCTCACAGCTTCCCAAAACCAATCCACTACAACAGACACCATATTTTGTGAGAGACAGTCATGGTATCACTGTCCTTGAAGCCACCATAAGCTTTAGAGCAGTGCCTGCCTCGCTGGCAGGAAGGCAGCACCCCCAGTAGCCTCAGCTTCAGGGTTAGTGGCCACCGTAGCCAAAATCTTAAACCTCACATGCACCTGCATGAGCCCAACTCCCCAGCACACAACTGTGGGACTGAGGGATGTTGCAAAGTCCTGGCTTTCACCAGATCTGTCCATCAGGAGCTTGAAACATGGCTACATGTGGCCCCAGTCCCCATCATCACCTCTCCTAGTGGGATTAGGGAACATCTCCTCCCCCACCCACAGACTGGGCACAGTAAGTACTTGGAACAAAGTCCCATGCTCACCTACACCTGTCCATTGGAAGCTTGGAAAGTTCCCAGCTTCTTCCTGAAGCTCCAGAAATGTGACTACCAGTGGCCCTATCCCCAGCACAACCTGTGCTCACCTGACATGATCTAGGAACAGTCTCTTTCCCAGACCATAGCCTTGGGGTTGCAGATGCAATACCAAAGACTCAACATCTACTGTGCTTGTTCCTGGAAATCAGGAGAAAGCCCCATCTTTGTCTGTGGTTATAAGCCTCAGCCCCATGAAAGCATGTTCTATATTGGTAAGGACATTTGCATTCATTTCCTGCAGCTCCAAGACCACAGACACCAAATCACAAATGCAGCACCATTTGTGCGCAACTGGTGTGATCTAGGGAAGGTCTCCTCTACGTCCTCCATCTTAGTGGCATGGACATCAATGCCACAAGTCCAAGTCTTACCTGCACATGTCCTGCAGGACTGAGAGAAGGTCTCCTCCATAGTCCATGGACTTCTGGCCACAGTTGCAAGGGCCAGAAGCCCTGGCACTGCTGCATTTGTCCCTTGGGACCTGGAGAAGGTATTATCTGGGTCCTACTTCCCCTCAAAAGCATCTGACAGGGCTACAAAACCCAGCACCAACCACAAATACCCATGGTTCCCTTTGTGCTGCAAAACATCAAGGCCATCGTTACTCACTGATGGACCACAGCATCACCTATGCTCATCCAGCAGGACCTGGTGAAGGCCTCACCCCATCCTATTGCTACATAACTGTGGCTGCTGCTAAGAAAGGCCCAGGAATTGCCCACATTCATTCTGAGAACACTAGAGAAGGTTTCCTTCACATCCTTAGTTTAGAGACTGTGCCACAACCCTTGGCATCATCTGGGCTTTCCCTGAGAGATCTGCGAACAGTCCCTCCCACATCTTGCCTACTGTCATAGGGCTCAATTCTGTGGACACTTAAGAGAATACCTTGGGTTTTTTTCCTTTGTTTTGTTTTGTCAACACTGGGAAAATAATACCTTTGGAAACCTACATCCATGGCAAGGTCATACAATTACCTCATGAACTGTGCAGTCTAGACTATCAAGGCACTTGTACTGCTGACATCAATTCAAGTTGAGGAAATCACAAAGAAGCTATGGCTTTTGAGCTCCACTATAGCCAAACTCAAATCACCTATCCAGCTGACATTCCATATTCCATATGAACAAAAAAAAAATCTTTTTCTACAAAAATCTACTTCATATAATTGGAAAAGGCAAACATTACAGCACATGCACAGACATTGATGTAAGGACACAAGAAACATGAAAGTAAACATGGTTCCTCCAAATGTGAATGACAATTTTTCTGAAGTAGATCCCAAAGTGCCTTAAAAAGAATGAAAATAATGATCCTGAGGAAATCCAGCATGCAAGATAATGCAGATAAACAATACAAAGAAATAAGAAAAACAATTCAAGATAAGAGTGAAAAATTCACCAGAGACAGAAATCATTAAACAGAACCAATCAGAAATCTTTGAGCTAAAAAGTTCAATTTATAAAATAAAAAATACAAAAGAAAGCTTCCACAAGTAAGTAGAACAAGCAGAAAAGAAAAGAATTTCTGAACATGAGGACACTCAGACAAAAAGAAATCAACCCAGTCAGACAAAAAGAAAAAAAATTAAGAATGAAGAATGCTTATGAGATTTATTGACACCATTCAGTAAAAAAAATATTCACACTATGGAAATTCCAGAGGTGAAGAAAAGAGATAGGCTTTGTAAAAACTTTCCAAACTTTCAAAGAGACATGGAAATCCAGGTTTAAGAAGTCCAAAGACCCAAACTATATTTAACCAAAATAGACCTTAAGCAAGGCAGATAATAGTCAAAAGTCAAAAGTACAAGACAAAGAAAGACTCCTAAAAACAGCATGCAAGAGAAAAGTGTCAAGTCACATATTAGGAACTTGCCATTAGAATTACAGCAGATTTCTCTGCAGAAACCTTGCAGGCCAGAAAAGAATGAGTTGACTTATTGAAAATACTGAACAAAAAAAACTCTGCCAACTAAGAATATTATACCCAGGAAATTTTTCATTCAAAAATAAAAGAGAAATAAAGTCTTTCCCTGGTGAGCATAAAGTAAAATAATTCATCACTACCAGAAAAGTCCTTTAAGTACTTTACAGAGTCCTATCTTAGAAACAAAAGGATAATAATTACCATAATGAAAACACATGATAGAAAAAAGTCAGTAGAACAGATACAAAAAGACAAAGAGAATTAAACCTTCACATGACAGAAACTCAGCAAATCAAAATGATAAGTAATAAGAAAGGCTAAAAGGAACAAAAATATATAAAATAAGCAGAATACAATTAATAAAAAAGACAGTAGGGAGTTTAGACCTGGTACTGAAACCAGACAGACAGAGAGAGAAAGAATATAGTCCCATATCCTTGATGAACATAGATGCAAAAATTCTCAAAATACTAGCAAACTGAACTCAATAGCATGTTACAAAAGATCTTACAGCCACCATAGTCAAATAGAATTTCTGTCAGGAATACAAGGATGGTTCAACACATACAAATCAGTAACTGTGATACAACTAATCAACATAATAAAAGACAAAAACATATAATCTTTTCAATAGATGCAGAAAAACACTCAGATTTAAGATGCCTTTATGATAAAAGCTTTTGACAAATTAGCTATACTAGGAATATACCTTAAAATGCTAAGAGGATGAAAAACTGAAAGCCAAGCTCATACTCAATGGAGGAAAGCTGAAAGTGCTTCCTCTAAGATCAGAAATAAGACAAGGATGTCCACTTTCCTTACTTTTATTTAATATAGTACCAGAAATCTTAGCGAGGGAAATTAGGCAAGAGAAAGAGAGAAAGGGCATCCAAACTGGAAAAGAAGTTAAGTTATCCATGTTTTATACAAAGAAAAATATAAATATTTTATCAAAAAAGCTAGTAGAACTGTCAAATTCTGTAAAGGTGCAGGATACAAAATCAACATAAAAAAGCATTTTTATACACCAATAGTGAACTTTCTAGAAAACATTCAGAAAGCAATCCTATTCACAGAATGACAAAAAAAAAATTAGGAATAAATTTAACCAAGAAAGTGAAAGATCTATATGATGAAAATCAAAACACTGATGAAAGGAATTATAGAGGACGTAAAACTGGAAAGATATCTCATGTTCATGGGTTACAAGAATTAACACTGCTACAAAGACCACACTCCTCAAAGCAGTAGGTACATTCAGTGAAGTTCCCATCAAAATACCAATGACTTTCTTCACAGAAGTAAAAAAGCAATCCTAAAATTAGTATGGAACCAAAAAGGACCCAGAATAGTCAAAGTGACTCTGAGGGAAAAAGAAAATAGAACTCGAAACATCACAATACCTGGCTTTAAAACACTTCACAAAGGGTGAAGCGTAGCCCCCCAGACTGAAGCCAGCAGGACTGTGCCAAATCCAGCTCCAAGAGCCAGAGCTAGGGGATCTGGCTCCCTGCTTTCTCTAGCCTCTTCCCCTCAGTGCAAAAAAAAAAAAAAAACTTGGACCCAGGGCAATGGATAGAAGCATGAGTGAAACAGAAAATGGAGACACTTTCCTTGTTCTAAGAAGCTGTCTTCAAATCCACTACCTCACCCCCACAGCACTATACAAAACAAAAGTTTTTAACCATACAAGAGTGTCTCCAATTCAAAACAGAGGCCTCGTGACTCTCCTACAAATTCAACAGTAATAGTGTGTGGGACCCTGAGACGTGGCATTCCTCGGTTCTACCCGACTTCAGGGCAGAGCTTACCAGAGGAAAATCTGAAGAAAGAGAAGGGCATAACCGGTCAGTCATGAGTCCACATACTCCCAGCTGGAGCATCACCCTTGCCAAGGAGCAGCTCCCCGGCGGGGTTTGTCACATGTGCTCCAGCAGCTCTGCCCTCCATGTTCACCAAAGTCATCTGTGTAGACAAATCGGAATTCCAACAGCAAACAAGGCAGGCAGGCTTGTCTATATCTGGACCTAAGGTGCCACCCTGGTCAGGACTCTGATTCCTCATCTTGAGTTGGTTTACGGGCTTTTACTTTGGAACACTCTGGGTGAAGCCATTTCGGGTACCCACACACCTGGCAGGGTCTCCAAATGACAAAACGTTCTTAGATAATGCAATGGAGTCTGTGTGGTCTGATTTCAGAACACACAGCGTGGTCAATCCTGGAAACAGCCTTTATTTACTGATCAGCTGTGTAAAATGTGTGATGAAGTGTTCACCAAGAGATGGCACCTAAGGGCTCTGAGAAGATAAAATGTATAGACCTATTCATACAAATCCATGTATAAACGTTAGTACATACACAAAGCGTAGCTTTTTTGAACACATACAGCTGTATGTAAAAGTAGCTGATATTAGTTAAGCCTCTATCAACTGTTTTTGTTACGTGTACATTTGGGACTTTGTTTTTTCTTTTGGCTGATTAAAGTTTCATATGCTAAGTGTAATGAATAAAATGATTTAAAAAACATACTACAGAGCTATAAAAACCAAAACAGCATGGTGCTGGCATAAAAATGGACACAAGGACCAATGGAACAAAATATAGAACCAAGAAATTCATTCCATTCATATATTCACCTGATTTCTTGACAAAGTTACCAGGAATGTACCCTAGAGAAAAGACAAGATGTTCAATAGTGTTGGCAAAATTAGAAATACATATGCAGTAGAATGAAACTAGGCCACTTCCTCCCCACACACAGAAAATCTTTTCAAAATGGATTAAGGACATAAATGTCAAACTTGAAATTATGACATTACCGCCAGAGAACACAGAAGAAACACTTCACGACATTGGTGTAGGGAGCTGTCTTTAGATAGACAACAGAAGTAAAATAGACAAATGGGATTCTATCAAACTAAGAAGCTTCTGTACAGCAAAGGGAATTATCAACAGAATTAAGAGATAACTTACAGAATGGGAGTAATATTTTCATACTATGCACCTGACATGGGATTGCTGGCCAGAATAGATAAGGAACTCAAAAATACCAATAATAATAGTATTAATAATAGGTCAATTTTAAACAGGATAAACATCTAGACACTTCTCAAAAGAAGACATATAAATGGCCAAGTATATGAAAAAATGTTCGGTTTCTCTAATCACCAGGGAAATGCAAATCAAACCAATGAGATGTCACACACACACACACACACACACACACACACCAATAAGAATGACTACTAACAAAAAGACAAAAAGTGACAAATGCTAGAAAGAATGCAAGAAAGAGGAACTCTTATGCACTGTTGGCAAGAAAGTATACCAGTATACTCTTTATGAAAAGTATGGAGATTTCTCAAAAAAAAAAAAAAACTAAAAAATAGAATTATATGATCCAATAATTCTGCTACCTGGGTATGTATCCAAAGGTGATGAAATCATTTTGCTAAAAAGATACTTGCACTCCTGTGTTTATTGAGTGACTATTCATTGTACCTAAAATATGGAGTCAACTCATATGGCCATCAGTGGATAGATAAAGAAAATGTGGTACATGTACACATGGAATATTATTCAACCATTAAAAAAAGGGAAATGCTGTCATTTGCAGCAACATGAATAAGACTGGAGGTCATTGTGTTAGGTGAAATAAGACAGACACAGAAAGGCAGATACCACATATTCTCACTCATTTGAAGAAACTAGTAAGTCAGTCTTGTAGAACAAGTAATGGAATGGTGGTTACCAGAAAATGGGAAGGGCAGGAGGAATAGGGAGATGGAAAGAAATTCAAAAGGGCACCAAAACACAGAGTGGAGGAATTCATTCTGATTTTTTTGTAGCACAGTAGAATAGCTATTAGTTTAAACAATCTGTGATACATTTCGAAATGAGTAGAAGACTATGAAGTTCCCAACACAGAAATGATTCATGTTTGAAGAGATGGAAATGCTTTTGACACTGTGTTATGGTCTGAATAAGAAATGTTTCCCACCGACTCATGTGTTGCAGGTATGGTCCCCAGCTGGTGGTGGTACCATTTTGGATTTTGGGACGTTGTGGAAACTTTGGGAGGTGGGGCATAGCTGGAGGAAGTTGGTGACTGGGTGTGAGCCTTTGAACCCTGGTTCCTGAGTTCATTCTCTCTCTCTCTCTCTCTCTCTCTCTCTCCCAAACTCTCTATCACGAGAAGAACAGCCTTCTCCTCCACATGCTCCCATGTTGTTCCACCCAAGGTCATAGGACCAAGCAACCATGGGTGAACTAAAGTCAACTTTTAAGTTGTTCTCTCAGGTATGTTGATCACAGCTATATAAAAGTAATTCATACACTCTGATTTGTATATTGCACATTATGAATTACCTAAAGACATAAAAATGTTATACTTCAGCTTTTAAATATTAAAATATAAATTTCACTTTCTGACAAAAGCACTAAAAATAAAAGGAAAAAAGTACGTATGTGAATAAAAGAGGAGCTAGGAACTAAATAGGTAAAACAAAGTCTGACTGTGGTAACGAGGATAATAGTTTCCCAAAATTTTTCACCTACTAATTTTTGAAACCTGTGAAAATGTTACATTCTATGACAAAAAAAATTATTAAATCACTAAATTAATGATCTTGAAATGGTAAAATGAACCTGAATCATCCAAGGTGACCCAACATAATTAACAAGGTCCCTGTGAGAGCAAGGCCAGGGTGTCAGTACAGAAGACGTAAGGATGATGAAAGCAAAGTAAGGATGATGAAAGCAAAGTAAGGATGATGAAAGCAAAGTAAGGATGATGAAAGCAAAGTCTGAGTGAAGCAATTCCTGGTTTGAAGGTGGAGGATGGGGCCAGCAGCCAAGGAATGCAGGCAGCCTGGCCAACCTGGAAACGACAAGAAAACAAACTCTGTCCTGGAACCCCCAGATGGAGTGCCATCCTGCCACATCTTGATTTTAGTCAGTGAAATCTATTTCAGACTTCGGACCTCCAGAAATATGAAGTAACAAGTTTGTGTTATCTAAAATCACTAAATTTGTGAGTTTGTTACAACAGCGATAGGAAAACTGCCACACTTGGCTATTGCTGCTTTACTCCTACATCTGTTAAAAATTAAAATTTGTTTTTAAAAATAGGAAAAGGGTGAGCAAAAGAACAGAAAGAGCTGTGTGAAATTCTCTTCTCCATCACCGTAAAGGCTGCTGTTTCATCCAGTCAGATATAGAATGCATAGGTAGGTAATGTGGCAGGTGTGGCTTGTGTTCAGGGAAAATCTACTCCTAGTCATTCAGCAGTTGGATAACTTTTAAGCCAGAGTTAATTAAGCTGCAAATGCCATCTCAATGTCTGAAAGTTTTCTATCTTGCTGTTCAAAATGCAGTTGTTAAAGAATACTTCAGACTTTCAATTTAGAAATGACTCCTTTTTCTTCTTCGTCAGATCCTAATAGCAAGGGAATTCATAATTTAAAATAACTCTACACCTTGAAAGATGGAAAACATGCAGTCCAATGTAAATATGCAAATGTTCTTTAGATTCTTTTAAATGAACCTGCTCTCTCTATTGTGCAAGGATGATAAGTATCCTATCACACTAACAACCTTCAATATTATTAACTGTGTTTTCCTTTTAGGTCTAAAATAAGTACCTGGTTGCGGTTAAGAAAAATCTCTTGAGAGGAATGGCTGCTAAATTGTGTTTGTTTCTATAAACACAAAATATGTCATTAATCCAGCTTTATCCCAGAGAGCATAGTTGTTTACATGCATTATGGTGATTTTATTGTATCTTATTAAGGAATAATGGCAAGCTAAAGCAACTGCATTAACACAGTCTTGTAATAAAAAGTAACATTTTTGCTATTCTAATTAGTTACACTCATTTCATGAGAGAATGAATCCAGATATGTTTGGTTACGTTTGAGTCTTCTGAAAGGATTTCCTTTTTAGCACAGGTTTGAAATGCACCGGTTTTAGCACTAATGTGTTAGGCTGCTCTGCAGTAGTACTGTTCCAGAAAGCAAGGCCAAACAGCAGCTGAAAAGAGCTGTCACACCTCAAAAGGTTTCCCAACAAGCGAAAAAATGTGCAAAAAAACACCTCCCAACAATTACACAACAATTATTGTGTAATTAATTAGCTAAGTGTGGGTCACCTAGCTAAGTAGGGCTGCTGGAGGACCAAATACAGGCACAATTAGTTACCCCCTAGGCAGTAACATACGATTTGGAGTGTTTTGAAAAATTTGCTCCCAGCAATTTGTATCTCACTTGAAACCTAGCTGTATGTGCACTTTTAGGTTATATTTTAGGTTATGTTTCTTTAATAAATGCAGAGTATGTTGATGGGTTGCCTTCTCCTTCCCCACACCTGTTTCTTCTCATAATCTTCACCATGCTTTATGAGTGATGAGATCAACTCTGCTTGCTGAAAACCTCTTCTCTGAAAAAAATCTGGGAAAGACATTTGCCTGGAAACAGTCTGACCATTGTAAATGTCAGTTTTCTTCTCTACAAGCTACAATGTGAAATTGGATTCTTGTTTTTAATAAAGTGAAGGGTTGTTTCCTTCTCTTGCACTACCTTAGCAACACTGACTTAACGTGCAATTCGTAGTATCTTGATTACACCCACAGAAACTACGTGTCAATGAACCATGGCATGTTGGAGCAAGAGTGGGATTCATTTCAGAATTTGGATAAATCTAAGAGTTGTGCCTTCTATTTTAATTGTGGCCTACATAAGCGTTAATGACTGTCTTTAGAATCACAAGTTAAGTAGGTCCATGTATGAGTGAGGTCAGAGCCCAGTTGCTGTGTCAAAGTGTAAGGTAAAAGTGGGGAGGAGGACGGAGAATGGAGTAGGAAAATGACACAACAGAATAACTAAAAAAATGGCTTTAGTACGTGCACTGACGCATGACACAGAGGTTTTATTACTTGTACCTCACTATTTATGTTCACGTTCCCATAGAAAAAGGTTCACATTTTTGCAGCTATGAACCCACTAGAAAAGGGCAATGACTTAAGGGCAAATTGTTGGGCAAGGAAAAAGATTTATTTGGAAAGTCACCACACCAAAAAAGATGGTGGCTAAGTCCATCAAAGGCTATCTTACCTTGGGGTTGTGGTCTCCAGGCTCATACAGGGATTTGAGGGAGGCAGATTCCACAGGCAGAGAGCATCAGGGTAGTTGTAAATTTTGGCCAGTCAGCTTTTCTGGTGCTGCTGTCATCTGCAGGTCATCTGATGTTCTTGGTCTTATAAATCTAAAGAAAAATTACTGATAGAAAAGGCTTATGACTCTTCTTTTTTTCAAAAACAGAGAACAGGAAGGTAAAACAGGTCCTGTCTGGGGGTTGGTACCAGTGGGAGGGGGAAAACATAAGGAAAGGGTATACAAAGGTGAATATGGTAGAAATATTATGTAGTCATGTATGAAAATGGAAAAATGAGACCTGTTGAAATTATTCCAGGAATGGGGGTGGGGAGATAAAGAAGAATGATGGAGGGGGTGAATTCAGCTATGATATATTGTAAGAACTTTTGTAAGTGTCACAACATACCCCCAGCACAACAATAATAAACAAAATAAATAATTAAAAAGAACTTAGCTACCTAAGCACATGCCATGCTTCCGCTGCAGGTAGTACAGTTCTAGAGGGGTGTTGACTTCACCCTGCATGTGGGTATACTGGGGGACAGTGAGCTGACATAAGTCCATTTCATGCAGGATTCACCGTAGCCATTCAATCAAAGTGCAGCTGAGTGGCTACTTTGTCCTTTGTTAAGCCATCCTCTACTGAGAAATCAACATGCTTACTCTTGGTGAACACGTGAAAAGTTCAATAGGCCTACAAATGTTGTTTTCTTATTATTTTGTATATGCTTATAATTATATGTATAGTTACATATGTATTTTTAGTTACATATGTGGTTACATGTAACTATATTTATATATGGTTGTAGTTACATATATTTGTATTTATAAAGTTGTATACTATGTTGTATAATAAATATGACTACTTATTTTTTAAAAATCTTATGACTCACGTTTTTAGTGACTCCTGCCAGGACTAGGTAATTCTGCAGTTAAATATTAGGACAGTAAAGGTGTCTTTTCCCTGGAGAATGGGGAAAGATAGAAAAAGGCTATTTTTGCCTGGAGGACCAGAGGAGATAGAGAACAGAAACTTTACCCCCAGGACAGAGGAAGATAACTGAATGACAACTGCTCCAGGACTGGACAGGGAAAGGAAGGTTCTCCAAGAACAATTTTAATCCATTAAAAGATGAAGATGGCTTCATTTCAGAGGTTCCAACTACATCAAAGTCAGTGGCAGACCAACAGCATACTGCTCAGCTGTGTGACCTCCAAAATTAATGACTTTTGAAATGAACTAAAAGCAAGTAGGGCTGGAGGATTACCTAGCTCTTCCCTTGGTAACACAACCGTCAAAGTGGAAAGAAGTCAGGACTAGGTGAGAAGCTAATTTTGTTTTGTATACCTTAAGAGTGTACGACAGAAAGAGTCTCATAGTATCTAAGTTCAACAGGACACAAAAGTCAGTCTTGTGTCTCTCCTGTTAATCAACCCCAGACCTGGAACACAACACTTGGTACATAGTAAGTATTGACTGAATGGTGATGAATGAGAAATGACAACCGTCCACTCCTTGAGACCATCAGGAAAACCGTGTCTGAACAGAACTGTGATGATCAGCCCTACTATGTGAAGGGAGAGTACCTCCTTGTTATTGTGGTGTACAGAAGAAGGTTTCTGGAAGAGTGCATTTATAGTTTTATGACATAGTATGAGTGATTTTTAAGGTGAATCACAGCAGGGAACTGGCGAGAACTGGGCAGAGTTTATGACCTATCTTTGGACTAGTGGACACAGTGAGTCAATCACCTTGGGAAAGGTGTTGGTGAACAAATGGGACCATCAGTTCTCTAGATAAATGGCAAGAGTAGAAGATATACACATGCATATGTGTACAGCATATACAGTGTACATATGTAAATAGTACATGGAGATTAGAAGAAATTGGTTTATGAAATTGTGGATGCTAAATCCCACAATTTATAAGAGAGTGAGCAAGCTAGAGACCAGAAACATTGATGATTTCCTTCCAATCTGAGTGCGAAGGCCTAAGAACCAGGAGAGCCAATGGCACAGCTCCAGTTCCAAGGCCAGCACACTTGAGACCCGGGAAGAATAACATTTTAGTAGAGGCAGAAGGCAGGCAAAAAGCAGGTGTTCCAATTCTGAAGGCACTAGGCAGGAAGGGCTCTCTCTTCCAGCAGGGGTCCACCTAACTGTTGGAGTGTGAAACATTTGGGTGACTATCTCAGTCCACACCTGACCCTGCCACAGTCTCCACACACAACAAAGTGTAGGAATCCTCCAGTTAATATGATCAAAGTAGAACTGATGAAGTCATTCAGGTCCTAAAAGAGAACTTTGGCTTTGAGCAAATTAGGTAGGGTGATTATCAAATCTCAACTGGCATAGATCTAGGCTTTGCAAACTATATCCATGACAGCCATGGGTTTATGGGAACAGAGCCGATCCAATTCACACACTCATCATCTCTAGTTGCTTCCACACTCCACAGTGCCAAAGTTGAGTCACTGTATCAGAGACCATACTCTCTACAAACCTAAAGTACTTACTCTCTTGCCTTTTAGGAAAAAACTGGCCAACCCTCAACCTAGCATGATAAAGACACGCACAGAACATTTATAAGCTGATATCCTATATAGAACACAGCTAAACATTAATTCTGTAAAAGTTTTTCTCAGCTAATTCTAATCTGTCAGACAGCTGCTTCTTCATCTTAAATATCATCTTATTCCTTCTCAGAGTAATTTTATATGTGACTTGCCATCAAGATTCTAAGCTTACTTAGCCTTCTATTCATGGTTTCCTCTATAAGAAACCCATCAGGGTCCATTAAGTGTGATGCACTAATTAGAAAGGATTTAACATGTCTAAAATAAAAATGATATATGACAATAAGCTTTAATATGCCTAAAAGTATCTTTCAAGTATATGATATGCGCATTCTTTGCTTTCATGTCCTGCACTATGAACCCATTATAATGTACATTCAATGAACTGTCAGAGGTATATATTTGTCTCCCAAATACTTATTTATTAGTGGGCTAATCCTACCTTATTCTGATAGTAACAAAGCACCATAACAATAATTGAGTGAGTATTTATCTATAAGGAATACTCATTTAACTCATGTTTTTACCAGCAGCTTCACAATTGTCATTAAGCTAGCTTTTTCACTCCCATTTAATTCTGCATTCACTTACTTTTTCCATAGCTCTGGCTTTAGCAAGGTAATTTCTGTATTTTGTGGCTTGACTTGGCAAGTCTTAGCTTGATCTGCATCCTATATTATCTCTCTTAAACACAAAATGCAACTCCAAGAACAGTGATTAATTAGTTTACAAATTTGCCATCTGCTTCATTCAAGTCCTACAAGGTGAGAAACGACAAATCTGACTAAAGAAAATGAATGTTAATGAGGTTTGCTTTTTCTACCCTTTGAAACAAAAAAAGCAGGGTTATTGAGGTATGATTGGCAATTCAAAACAGTTTAAATTAAAGTTACACAACTTGAAGTCTTGATAGGCATATGCATTATGAAATGATCACCACAACCAAGCTAATTGAAATGTCCATCACCTCTCACTGTTACTGTGTGTGTACATGTTTGTGCATGCATGTATTAAGAACATTTAAGATCCATTCTTGTAAGCAATTTTTAAGCGTGTACTGTGGTATTAATAACCACAGTCACCATGCTACATTTTGTGTCTGCAGAACTTATTCAATCAACATAAGTCTTTCTTTATATCCTTGACCAACATCTCCCTGAGCCTCTCCCAACCTCTCTTCTATGAGTTCAACATTTTTAGATTCTACACATGAGTGACATGGTATGGTATTTGTCTTTCTGTTTCTGGCTTATTTCACTTAGTGTAATATCTGCAAGTTGTCGTAAATGGCAAGATTTCCTTCTATGTTACAGCTAAATAATATTCCAGGGGTGTGTGTATGCATGTGTGTGTGTATATCACATTTTCTTTATCCATTCAACCATCAAAAGCTAGTTCCATTATATCTGGAGCTATCATAAATAATGATACTACAGATATCCCTTCAAGATACTGACTTGATTTCCTTTGGACATGTACACAGAGGAAGGATAGTTGGGTCACCTGAGAGTTCTATTTTTAATTTTTTGAGGAACTAGCAGCTTCACAATTGACACCTCCCCCAACAGTGCACTGGGGTTCCCTTTCTTCCACACCCTCTCCAACACTTGTTATCTTTTGTCATTTTAATTATACTCATTCTAAGAACTGCCATTTGAAGTTTGGAAGGGGAGACACGATTTGTAGTGTCGGCCTCTTTTTGAAATACAAATACAGGATGGATCTCACAATATTAGCCTGATATCATTGAACACAAAATTGGGAAGAGAACACAGTGGAACACTGCTATACAGTTTCTCCTGTCTGCAGATACATGTGCATAAACTCAAGAGCACAGAGAATGATAAAATGTCAATTAGGAGATGATATATTTTAAATGTTACCTCTTGAAATATAATTATAAATTATTAATTTCTAATAACAGTTCTGCTTAATAACTAGCTCACAAAATTCTTGAGAATTCAGCATTCATCTCCTGCCAACAAGTACAAGCCAACTTTCATGAGCTAATACATTTCCAGAACATCACTGCCATGAGTTTACATTTTGCAGAAAATACAATTGTGCTGCTTTATTTATGAAAATAACTTTTCCATTATTAATCAAGTTGTAAAAACTCCCTCACCTCTCACTCCTTCCACTCACACAGACACATATTAATATACATATATATTCAGTTATTAAATTAAGCATCTCTGATGAATTTGTATACCCAGTAATTATCTCCACAAAACAACAATCAGTTAGAAACTAATTAATGACCAGAACCTACTTAAAACTGATGCATTGCTGCTCACTAAAATATTTCTCTTTTGCAAAATCAGGGTAACAATCTGCCAGCATCTCTTTTAAAAATACAATTTTTAAAAATTTTGTGAAGTATAATCTGCATACAGAAAAGTGCACAGACTATGCAGGAATTATCACAAAGTGAATAAATCTTATATCAATTTGTTGTGTATTATTACAAAAAACCACCAGATCAAAAGATTTACCACTTGTAAGGGTTTTGTTCCTCTTGTTAATTTTTATCCTATATTCCTAAATTCATGTATTTCTAATAGATGAGCTAAAAGAAATGTGTGTGCCTATGTTGTGTGTGTGTGTGTGTGTGTGTTTGCATGTATGTGTGTGTGGTGTGTGTGTGTGTAAAATATGGCAGTTAACCCAAGCAATCACAATCCTCAAATCATATAAGCAAGATGGAAAACCACAAATATATCTGAATCTGGTTCTACTGGCATTATTTTAAAAAATAGTCATCAAGGGACAAAAAGAAAAACCAACAAGTTTCTTTTATTCTAAACAACTGATTTTAAATTCTTCCAAAATTTTTCAGAACTGCCTCTTTAATTCTTATAATCAAATGACCTTTACTTTAGTTGCATACATCACTTGGTATAAACCTCTCAACCTTTTGGGTTCTATGAATGCTGTTTTAAAGAAAAGTTGTATCCTTCCCTGTAGACTTTCTCTGCCTCAAGCAATGCGAATCCTCCTTAAATCTACTTCTATAAGAATTCTTTTGAAGAATATTCCTAGTACAATTGATGGTTGAAATAGCAAATTGAAGATTGTGGCAGATAACAATACTTGCACACCTAAATTCTAACTACGAGAGCTTCCAAAAGGAACTGCAATTAACATACTTGGCAAGAAATTCTAAGTTCAGGATGACATAAGTTAAATTTCAGCAGCTCTCAACATTTCATTCACAAGTAAGTTTTAGTGATCTGTCAAACTCAGCAAAATTATTAGCCTTTTCTTAGCCTGTGTTCAATGTTTGGGTTCCTACTGTCAAAACAAATGTGTACTTAGGTAGACCAAAATGCTGAAGTCTTTTCTAAGTATTTTGCAATTGCTCTATTCATTATCAAGGACCAATGCTTATTTTTAGAGAGTCTGTCACTTGTTAATATGTTATTTACTACATGATTCTTTTTTGTATCCATCACTCACTCTGTAGCCACACTAACATTCATTCATTTTTAAGAATTAAACACATATCCTAGAATATAGCACAAGAATAAAATAGAAAAGTCAAGTTCATGCAGGTGGCAAAACATTTGATATTTTCAAAATCATGGTAGAAAGTCAGCAAAGGATGTTGAAATGATACAACCAGACTTTTCAAGTACTACCTGAGTGAAGTATTACCACTTAGCTACACATACTCTGATTAAATTAAGAATGATTCATTTTTAAGGCACTGTTGAAATCCAAATCCCCCGTTCACACGATGATAAAAGGCTCCTGTCCTCCAGTTACAATGACCTTGTTCGCCAGTGACAGAGAATTGAGTAGAATGCCATCTTAGCAATAGCCTGTATTATTATAGGGACAGGATTAGACATGACAGAAAATTGATCGTCTTCCAGATAGTTTAGGCCAGTCACAAGGTAATCAATCCAATTGTTGTACAACTGATGATGCAGAGGTCAGACAGGTCATATAGCAAGTTCTTTTTCACCACACTATTGTTCACCCAGATAATTCAGTCATCATGACAGCCAAAAATTGGTGATCGATTAGGTGCTTTTCAGTTCAGCTCCCACACAGCCTACATCAACCCATTGTTTGTTATCTAGTATGATACTTTTCCTTTTGTAACAAAATTGTCTTCAGATAATAATTTTTGAGGCCAAATAGCCTTAATAGCTATTCAGGGGAACAGTAATCAATCCAGCTGAGTTTTAGGACTGCTTTAGTACACCTCTACATGTGCTTTGACTTCAAAATAACTTATTAATAATAATGGAACAGAAGAACTATATTCATGCAATTGATTTTTCTAGTCAATTGTGCAGTGGATAAAAGGAGAATTCTAACCTTATTTTGATGGATAAAGATCAAAAATTAAGTTGAATTCAAATAATTCAACTCTTCTGAAATTTTTTCAATTAGAATTGAGTTCTATTAGAATGAGAACAGAAACTAGGTGTCCCCATTATGAACATTTTCTTGAACAGAATTTAAAAGAATTAATCCTGTGTATTGGCAGGATGAAATATCATAGGAGCTTATTCCTAGCAGACATACTTTAGGAACATAGGCACTAGTACACCCAATGACATATTAGATCCAGGGACAGCACCCAGCTCAGCCTGGATGGAGCAGGGCAGGAGACCTAACCAGGGAGGTACCTAAGGGCTTCAAAACTAAACTACCAGGTTAAAAGTACAAAATTCAAGTGTGCTGGCAATGGATTTTAAGCAAGAAAGAGATGTATTCAGAATATTATCCTAGACATTGTGCACAAGACTGATTAAACAAGGATATGTCTGTAAATGGAAGGATCCATGGGAAAAGCATAGGAAAAGACTCAAGGAAAGCAATAGATCTGAGGGCTGGCAGAGTGACTCAAGTGGTTTTATGCCTGCCTAGCAAGCATGAGGCCCTGAGTTTAAGCTCCAGTATCACCAAAGAAGAAGAAAAGGGTTTGAACTGAGGCAGTAACTGGGGGGTGGGTTGAAAGGTTTAGATAAGAATTACTGGGGAAAAAAAAGTTGAAAGGATGGGAATTAATCAACAAATGAGAAAGGAAAGAATAAAAGATACTGAGATTTCTGCCCCTCGGGGATATATATGCTCAATTGAGACATGAAAAATGTTCTTGGGGCACACCATCATGGAAGTGTCTGGTAGGCAGCTCAGCGGTAAGATCCTGGACAGACATATGAATGCAGCAATTATTAGCATGGAGGTGGATGATGTCAACTCAGAAAAGCCTACTAAAATTAAAAGTGATAACCCTGGAAGACATAGATAAGGCCCCAGAATACCAAAATGAATAAATCCATATCAAATGATGATACGGACTTATATCATCAGATAAGCCTTGACACAACACCACAGGTAACAACCAAAATTTTCTATTCATTTAGATAAACTATCAATTCTTCATTCCAGGAACATTAGCAAGCCATGATGGGAGGTGAATGTTTCAGGATGGTAAGTAGAGGATCAGGGTATCCAGGTAGATTATTACTAAGACATCAAAGTGGCCATTGGGTATGTCAAGGTGGGGGTTGTGTTGAATTCAGTACTGCTGAGCAGACTTGTAACCTAAAAATAGAATCAGACACTTGTTGTGTGTTAAATTGGGTTATCCTAAAAAGATATGTCAACGTCCTAACCCCCAGTACCCTAGAATGTGAGCCTATTTAGAAATAGTATGGTTGCAGATGTAATTAGTTAAGATGAGGCCATATTCTACCGGAGTGGACCCTTAAATCCAACTAGGATCCTTTAAGATGA